TATATATACTTTAGAATGTTTTATTACATTTACCATGCTATTCACGTGCATGATGTAGCCAACCGGAGCGAACACTGAACCGGTAGGTACACCAGACGTTACACTTGCTTCCTTACCTATAGTATTATATATTTTTGTGCACAGAGTCCTATTTTTAAGGTAGCTTTTCAACCACATGTTGACTGGACCACGAATCCCACACTCATGCATGGCGGTAAGAAGAAGATCGTTTAAAATCTAGAAAGACAAGAACTACATATTTTTTATCATTTAGATTTACATTGATATTATCAGTATTTAAAGCGGTACATGTACTATGTGACTTCCTGAAGCCATGTTGTGCGTCAGAAATAATGTTATTCTTTTCCAAAAAATCACTTATTATTTTTTATTATAACTTTCTCTACTATTTTATTTATGGTTGTCAGAATAGCAATAGGTCTGTAATTAGAATAATTGAGATGGTCTCCATTTTTAAAAACGGGTCGTATTATTGCCTTTCTCAAGTTTTCTGGGTAAGTTCCTCTCTCAATGCACATATTTACAAACTTCGCCATGACGGGACTTATACTATCATTGACTTGTTTTAGATCCTGTGGTCTTATTCCATCCAATCCTGGAGATTTAGTGGTGCTTAATTTATCAATGGATCTTTTGATCTCAGTAGGAGTTATTTTATTTAAGTAAAAAGTTACATTACTCGGCTTTACATAGGTTTCTCGTTTTAAAAAAGTTGTATTACATCTGTGTTTTATTTTATTTATTTCACCTGTAAATATCATAGCAAAGTTAGCACATATGTCATCCAAACTGTGTTTTTTACCCAAGTACTTCATCACAACACCATCTAAATTAATTGAATCTTTTCCTAACCAACTATTTATCTTTCCCCATATTTTTCTAAAATCCCCCTCACAATTTTTTAACTCCGTTTGTCTAAATTTGTTTTTTGCACTGTTAATTACTTTATTTGTCTTGTTCCTAAATCGTGTATATTCCAATCTGTATATCATATTTTTCGGGCAGCTTTTCCACTTTCTAAACAACTCATCCCTTCTGTCAACCATAAATTTAACATGTTGATCTATCCAAGGTTTAATTTAATTATGCACTTCATGTTTTATGTTTTCTGTGGTGTAAAATAAAGAGTTTTGTTTTGTATTGTATTGTATTTAAATACTACTTTACCTAGTTTTAATATCTTTACATTTTTTCCTTTATATTTTTAGAGTGATACCCTAGCTGGCAACAAAGATGTTATTTGCTAATATGGCTCCTCCACCTTAAATCAATATGTATTGTTGTTGCTTATGGTTGATCCCCAATGGAATAATATAGCTAGCTAGTGTTGTTCAATGTCCTCCAGAGATAATAAAATCACACTGCACAGGTCCAATCGGACTTTGGTGCACTGCTTACCGTACCTATAATAGGTAAGTAAGTAATATGTATGTGTAAAAATTTCTAAAAGCACAATTTTTTTAACAAAGAACCGGCCATTGTCTTTTGGTCCAGTTAAATAAAAATAATAATATCGATTATACTTATTACAACTATAAAGTATTTATTAAACATGTACAACACATTCTATTTTCTCATGAAAATGAAACAACAAAAGGAAAATATAGTTTTCATTTACTGTAACCAATCCCGTGAGTCTCTCATTTTCATTGGCTGGGATTGTGGTGGGGCGTTCCGGGATAGATAGGGATGCTGCTTCATCCGAGTACTCGCTAAACAAATTTAGTTCTTATGTCGTTTAATTAAATTCTATAATGCGCCGACTAGTTTTGATACTCCAAATGTTTTGATACGCCTTTCTCCTTTAACTTTTTTTTGTTATACAGAGTTTTCTATACATATTAGTTTCAGGGCGGAGTGTTGCGTAGGTGGTAATACAGTGCGTCACAAACTGTGCAACTCTGGTGATTCAGTTACTTTATTAATGACTTTGAAGTATAAAATAGTAATTAAAGTGAATAAAAGTATTGTTATTTTCTAAGTGATTTCATATATTATTTGAGACACAAGAAATACGTAACGTTTAAAGGTAAGGTAGCCATATACACATCAGTAGTGCGGATTAAAAATATACTTACAGCTTTTATTTACATTAAGTAACGTATAGTATAAGTATCTAGTTCACATGAAAAAAAACCGACCAAGTGCGAGTCGGACTCGCGCACCCAGCGTTCCGTACAAACTCAATTTAATACCTCTACGCGTTCATGAGAAAAGAGATAGTAACTTTAAAATTATCAAAAATATTTTTTATTATATGATGCAACTAAAAAGGAGATTGGTCAAATTGGCCTAAATGCAAATAAAATATTGACATATACAGTAATTCTTGGCGTAATTTATACTTTATTTTACAGTCATTAGATTTTAACGGCCACCTTTAAATAATATATTAATTTTAAAAAAGGACTTCTATTTTTACCGGTTTGGAAAACATACGAATCATTTTTATTGGCTATGGGTGTAGTAACATTCACAAAGACTGATCGAGGTTGTTTATATAACATCAAAACAAATCTATTTTGTAAAGATTGATAAAATATTTTTTTTTTTATTACACGGGTGGTATTAATATCCACAACTTTATTATCATTTTTACTACATGCAAATGTGCTAAGACAATTAATATAGATGGTAGGCGACATCATAAAGTCTATTGCCGTACATTTTTTGCCAAACACCTAAATGAACACATTATAAGGTGTGATACACTAAAAATCTAAAATATGGTTATAATAAAAACATAACAAAAATAATGAAGCTGCTGAAGATATGGCTGTTTAACCTACAGCTCTTAGCTTTCTTTGATTAACGAGAGTTTAAAAATTCTCTCTAATCTGTGGCTCATTCACAATCATCACACAGTTTCTGTTCGTGTTTTTAAAAACATGCACGTATCTGTTATTTTACATGCTCTATATACCTGAATCTAATACATAATATCGGTAGGTGCTTGGCTTGATTGCCCTATTTTCCTATATAAGTTATTTGGTTTTTATTATTCTAATACCTATGTGCCATGTAACGGATAGAAGACATATAAAATTTATGTATATTAATATAGAAATATATATTAAACATCCATGACTGGAGTACAAATGCTCGTATTCATCACACAAACATCTGCCCCCACCGGGATTGGAACCTCTCGAGTTGGCGACACCTTGAAACCTGGCGTATAAACCACTCGGCCACGCAAGTTATCATTGATGTGCGTTTGCTCTTATGATACATATAAAAAACTCATTGCTCAATCTAATCTGTTTGTGATTGCTATTGAAGGCGCCCTGCTCACACCTGTAACGCTCAATAGAAGTTTTAACATAAAAATGATATAATACTTAATTATAGCCAAACGGGATAGACTGACGCCTAGTTAGCAAATTTCTAAGTAAGTTTCACAAGGTGGTAAAAGCACATCACATCGGGTGGGCAAGAACTACTAGTGTGGCATTTTGCCATCTTTTTCTACTGGTTAGTACAGTCAATCTGTAGGTTGAGTGGTGAAAAAAAAACCTAAAGGGTAAGTCTTATTTTTTCTGTTGCCAAATGACGTCAGTAAGCCACCTTGGCGATGGGCATGTTCAACTAGTAGGCGTTTTTTAAAAAACTCAAAAAAACCCTCAAAAATTTTTTGAAACGCATTTTTCTTGTTTTGTATGCATTTTAGAAACTATTTTTTCGAGGGCGTTGAGTACTACAATTTATGTCATTGTTGCAATCTCGTACAACAAAAAATGCGCATTGTAGGTGGCGCTAAAGTCCCAAAAAAAGTGTTTTTTCACTTTTTCACCCTGAAAATATCATTTCAATGGAAAACTTTAAATGGAAAAGTTGTTCCGTACATAATTACCAACAACTTTTGTATAAACATTTTTTTTGTATTACTTACCGTTTTCAAGTTATAAATTGCGCAGGTATGAAAAATCCAATAGAGTGGTTTTGGGCAGTTCAAGTACACATTTGCAGTGCACATTTCAATGTACGTTTTAGGTACTATTTTTTATTTTTTTTCATGATTGTAATAATTTTGATTTGTTTTGACTTTTTTATCTTAATTTTTATACTTAACTATCAACTGAGGAGCTGGCGAAAAAAACGGTATAATTACACATCTGGTCAAAATACTTCTTTTTTTACATTCCGGATGTTTTGTGCCTGCTGAATTTGAATCTCAACTTATTTTAAATCAAAACCGCCTAAAACAGTGTAAGAAATATTAAATTAATCAGTTAAAAAACATGCCCAAAGCTTACTGTAGGTGTGTCATTCAGTTTTTGACTGTTTCTGTAAAATTTATGTTGTTTTGTTCGCCATCTCCTCAAATATTACAAAGTCATTCAAGAACATTGCGGGAGCAGTAAAGCCCTCGTGCCTGGCGTATTCTAAGAACAGTATCTACTATTGATATTATATGCGCACAATTGCCTATAGTACGTCGTCCCGTCAAACACGTACAGTTGTGTTGGACAATAGCGATATGTAGTAGTAGTATACTCTCGATCTCACGTGACGTGATTGGATACGACCAAGTAGAAGCCGCGCACTTTTTCATACCGTAGTCAGGTAAGGCTTCGAGTGCATTTTCTCTGTATATTTCAATATTATAGAGCCCATTTTGCAAATGCTCAACGCAGTATGACTTTGCTAGCTTTAATTGGTACGTACCCAGAGACAGTACAATAATCTGTTCTTCAGTCATTTGAAGAAAGCTTGGTATCTCGTTTGGTTCTATTCTCACAAAATCAACCTTTCGTCTACTCAACCGTTTCCTCTCTACATAATTGTGTAATAGGTTGGGAATATCTACTTTTTCCCTGATCTTCACAAAATTTTCTGCGTGAATGCAGTTGTGATGGGTACGTGGAAGTGATTTAAAATTACTGCAGTGATTTTAAAGCCACAAAACATATTCGGAAGCGTTTAATTAAAACATTTTTTTTGTTATACAACATTCGTCATATTCATGGTGGGATAACTCCAAACCGACTAAGAATTAGTAAAAGTTGTCATAGTGAGTATTGTTCCCATTGAAAAGACCTTTTCCATGTCACTACAAATATTGTTGTTGAAGGGGGATACCAAATTGCTCGTCATCTTTTAAAAAGATAATAAAAATTTCAATAAATTTAGTTTGTGTTTATAAAAATGGTTGTTGTTTTTATTATATTTGTTTATTAAGTATTCACGCACACCACTCATTAAATGCACATCATCATTAATTTTCATGAGAATGCACACTGATTAGGGTGCGAAACGTCGAGTAATGTAAAAAGCATCAAAAAACGCATTTTAATTAAGTAAAAAATGGTAATTCATCGTAGTTTATGTTATACAATGATCTGTTCTAATACAGGCCTTCAATCTGGAGGATGAATGCAGGACGAGCAAGGGTGCCAAAATGTGCTCGCTGCCGGAACCATGGCCTCATCTCCAGTCTTAGAGGGCATAAGAAGGCTTGCGCATATAGACATTGCCAATGCCCGAAATGCGGCCTGATCAAGGAACGACAACGGATCATGGCTGCACAGGTAAAATGGCTGCACAGGTATTAATTACTTTTCCTAAACATTAGAATGGATCAGCTTTAAAATTCTTGTGCAAATAGTAAAGCCAACTTCGGTTATTTTATTAAAAGAGGTAGGGCTTATAGGGGATTTGCCGTTCGGTAACTCGGAGCCCATCGGGAAAACAACCCCCACCTTATAGAAGACCACAGTAAAATAACGAAATAAAAAAGAAGACTACATATTGTATAACACCACTGCCGTTCTCAAACTAAAGTGTGGCTAAGTGTAAAGTGGTCGATGTTTCGGTCTTAAATTGCGTCGTTTTACAGTTTTTAATTGGCTATCGATCTGTCTTTAACAAGTATTCATATCTTTTATAGTTTAAGTGTAAAAATCGGTCATATGTGATGAATGGTTACCAAATAACAATAATTTAAAGTTTACGGAGCAGTTTTTTGGCCATATATAAAAAGTTGGTTTTGTCATTTAGCCGCGTTATAGCTTGAGGACGGCAGACCAGCAGAAACACAACACCACGTGTTTTTGCTGGTGAGTAGGGTTCCCGGCAAGGTGAGGATGGCTGGAGCGGCACATGCACTGCCGCAATCTATTTTCGCAATTGGACTCTACTTACACTTAACATCAGGTGGGGTGGGGTAATTTGTTGCGCCACGTATAAAGTGTACGCGGCGAGGAGCTGCATTCTATTTCTAGACAAAATTATAGTCCGATTCCTGCTAAATGTTCCTGTGAGAAAGATATTCCTTTTAGGAGAAAGTAGATTTCTTTCTCAAAATGATGCGGGACGGGTCGGGTGGAACAGCATCGGGCACAGTTACCAATTTAATAAAAAGAAAAACAGCGTCACAAGACATTTTATTCAAATCTTCTCTGTGCAAATAAAAAAAAAATACCTATTTATCTCTAAATTTATAAAATGTAGGTAAAAGATCCCCTCATATCACGACGGCAATGTTAAAGCCCTTAAATTAATTTAGCGGAAAATCAACGACAAACAGTGTATGTTTGTGTTTGCGGTGAGCAGTCCACCCGGGAGCGCCATGGGGCTACCCGATGGTCCCTGGTGCGACTGTGCTCATTGCTAAGGTAAACAAAACTCGATCCGGACACAAATCAAATCAGTTGAAGCGATGCCTGGAATTTATATCAGTTAACGCGTTTCCTGATCGATTGGACACACTTATTTTTAGTTACCTTTTATTGCACATGCATTTTAGTGGTTGAGAATAATGTTTACGACTGCTTCTGTTTACTATTATTATATTACGTTATGTATATCACATCTGTACTTATCTCTTAAAAAATTAGCAAATCAGAATAACAAGGAAAACAGAACATCTTCTTTGTTTATTTATGCCACTTGTGTTGTTAGTTGATTTATATCGTGCTGGGATATTGCAAAAATATTTTTTGTTAGTATACTAACACCCCCGACGTATGTGATAAAAGGAAGTACATATTTGAATTTTACCTAAAATTTATTTAATTTAAAAATTTTATCGTAATTACCTCGTTAGATAACAGTGATATAAAATAATTGATTATATTCGAATCATATAAATGTAGGTATTTAATAAATTCTATCCAAAAGTGATGCATGATTTGTTTGTTGCATCAGAAAAGCTTCATGTTTTTTGTTTTCTAATTAGTTTTTTAAACTCGGAGCAAAAATGTTAAAATTGAGCTGGGATCGGCGGGATACGGTACGGGGACACGCGATGCATTACTGTGTACACGATCGATGGCTCATCCGGCGGCTCCGTAAACACGTGCCACTTGTTCAAATAAACCACACGCCGCATTAGCCCGGCTCGATTTCACTACATTAAAACACATTAACGCCTCTAAATTGCATGTTATTTTCGATTTGGGCGCATCACAGTTTTGACCATTTTGGGTACGCCACGATCGAAGATTTTGGTCTAGGAAAAGACATACTTTTTTGATTTGGAAATAAACATTTGGTTACGACATCCTTTTTGTAATAAAAACAAAGCAATGTTTCTAAAGTATCTTGTATGTAAGTACGAGTATGCTTATTGATAAGTCCTTCAATCTGTAAAGTTTTTATAGTAAAGTTTATATCAATTCAGTAGCTGACAGAAAAAATTCTAAGGCTACAGGTTATTGAACAGGAAAATATTTTTTGTCACATCTATTCGAAAAGAACTAGTTTGTGCTCTGTTTACTGGGACCAAAATAGCGTTTTAATCCCTAGGGCGTAGAAGTGATTTGAATTACGAATGTGGATATTGTTGGTAAAAGTTACAATCACGCATAACTTCTACCAATGCTTCTCTTGCTGTCGCTTCTTTCACCCCAATAGATCTGGAAGTACTTCGCGTCGCTGAAATGGAAAGGACCCGACTATTAGGTACATCCATCTTTCTCCCTGATAACCTGTTTTTGAAGCCTCCTTACTTCCGTGCCTCTTCTACTCCATCCGGCTCTCCGTATCTCACCCGATATGACATTGCATTTGTGTATATCACTATCTTAGAGGCAGACGGACGTTGATATGACAATGCAGCCACTGTCAATTTTAGATAGTCGACGATTAATTAATAGTAAATGAATATTATATTTCCTCCTAAACTACTAAAAAGAACTTAAGCAAAATATGATTTTTTGAATAAGTACTAATGAACAATATAAAACAACGACTTTAAAACTATAAAATATAATATACATGCATTACTTATATAGATAACGACTTGATTTAACTTCACACTTTTTTGCGAAAATTGAGGCGCATCTGTAGCCTTGGCTTGAATTATAGACTACTGGACTTGTTTTTTTCTTTTCAATTTATATTCGAAGTAATATTTGAATATTACTTCGAATATAAATTGAAAAGAGATTGAGCAGTCCGGTATTTTTTTTTTAATTTACCTTTTTTATATTGTTGTTTGATCCCATAATAAACAATGTACTATTAGTGTAACATGAAGTCGGGGAAAAGTTTCTTCATATTTTCCAGCGGTAATATTTTTACAAACTTGAGACATTTACATGCAAAGGTGATTTAGATTTTACTAAAAATAACATGTTTATGCCATTTTGTGTAACTAATTGTAATAAGTAGTGTAAATTTTTTGGGATTACGACAAGTACGTTCGAGTTTTTCTCTAGACTTACAGTACCTACAGAAATCGGTGGACATCTCATGGGCGTATACGTTTTCCAGTCGAAGTTCTTAAATGTTTGCTGAGATGCTAAAATTTACTGTGGTTTGGCTGATCCCGATTAGTAAAATACTACACACCCCTTCTGTTGATAGCGAATATTTTGGCAAAGTCTGTGTAGCTTAACTGTGAACTTTTTTACAATTCCTTGCTGTAAGTAATTTAACCATGAAAAGTAATGAAGGTTTAAAAAAAGGAAGGTTTCATTACACTCAACAGATAATAATCGCATATATGTAATCAATTAAGTTAACTTAGTAAAGTTTTCTTTTAGTTAAGCACTTAAGTATCGTGTATTTTATATACTTCGACTTCGACAAATAGCTCAAAACTGCTACTGGTATGTCATAGCGGTCGATTTTGCTCCAATTTTTCAGAAATGGTATCGGAATGGTAATGTTGGAACTAACTCTGTACATGTATTTCTGAATGACACATCATTTGTTCCATAAACGCCACAAAATTTCTTTTTTGAAATAAGAAAAATAAGATAAATAAATAATAAATGAGGAGCTCGACGGCGCAGGTGGTTAGCGCGTTCGGCTGCGATCGTTGAAGTTAAGCAACTTTCGCAATGGTCGGTCATTGGATGGGTGACCAAATATCTTCTATCTCGAGCTCCTCCGTGCTTCGGAAGGCAAGGTAAGCCGTTGATCCCGGCTGTATCTGCAGTCGTTAGCACCCGCCAATGCTGGGCGCGCGTGGTGGGTCATGGCCCAATCTCCTTATGCCATCCATAGGGAAGGCCTGTGCCCCAGCAGTGGGGACATTAATAGGCTGATGATGAAGATGAAATAAATAAATAAAAAGATATGCCGAATTTCCTCGAGAAGGGCTGTATAATGTAGAGAAACTGGTTATACTTTATTATTCCATAGTATTTTATATTCAATAATAGTTTCAGTGGAATAACTGAATTTGATCGATACAAAGTTAGAAAACACAAAGACTTTTTTCGATTAAAAAAATGTGGTTAGTTAAGGGATAATAATACTGTGCAGTGCAGACCAACTTTGAATCCCTTAATTAGATTCTCATGTTTTTATTTTCAAATTACATTACATATGTTCTTTTCGCTAAGTAAGTCGACATTATGGTTTTTAGGAATACTGTTATGGGAGTTTTTCCAGCCTTTTGTGATGGTTATTCATAGCTACAAATACACACACTAAGAACAATCTGCGATAATTAAATAGTGTGATGGTATAAGGCCAAGATAAATAACATAACTAAATGTTAGCAAAATTCAATTCCTTTGTTTAGTTGTACATCATCATCATTTGAAATTATTAATTTTTCTTTTCTAAGGTGGCGCTGAAAAGGCAACAAGCGGCAGAAGATAAAATAGCATTACATTTGGCTTCTGTCGAGAGCGGGACGCCCCTGGAATCTCTTCCGCCGGGTCGGATCTACGGCATGAGGGTCACACGGCCTTGCCCTAGTCCGGGTCCGGAACCTGATTCTGCTGCTGATGACCAGACCGTAAGTAAAACTTAGCGAGCTTGACGAATAGGGTGACGGTTCCTAGTACATCTAAATGCGTATTAACTTAGAAATCCTTCTGCAGTACAAAACCGTGTGTGACGAATAAGAGAAGGATTTACGCGATTTATCGTTTGGAAACAACGATTTGGAAAAGCTAACTCAGTTTGGCTCAGCCGACGGGGACGTATTGAATTTGCATAAGTGTGTGTATGTCTAATTAAATTGTTTTGTTTATTTCGTACGTCTCGTATGACACACGTACTGGATTATTCTTTTGTTTTCTTATGTAAGTGAATTTTGTGTTCTGTTTTGAGAAATAAATGTCTTAAACCGTATAGTATGTCCTAAACCATAATCATATATGCAACCGGCAACAACCGTATAACGATGCTTTCAAAGTACGGAGCCGAACAGAGTGAGCTCTATACATTTCAATATAATTGCCATCGCCAGTGCGTCTTAGGAAAGTTGATCTGTAACCTACACATGCACTACCAATGCAGCATCGTTCTAAAATTAAAAAAGTATTTCTTTAGTTTTAAATATCACTCCATTTTTGATTGAAGTCGATAAAGCTAGAATGAGTTGAAAACAGGACTTTGTCTATATTTTATTTAAAATCTTTGCTGCATCACCTTTATTTTCACGCAGCCCATACACATCGACAGTGAGACGAGCGACTCTCAACCCGACTGCTGTAGCGCATCACCAGACTCCGCAGCCAACTCAACGGCCAATAGAGCCCGGTAATTAACACCTGTAGAGCGATTCTGTAAAAAAAATCTCACTTCCGATTACGGTAGCTGCCATTTTAGACATTTGTTTGATATACATTATGCCATTACACAGCAAAATGTCGCTATGTTTGTAAAAGCAGCCAGTATATTTGACATTTGTCAGAAATCTGAAAACTGACGTCGTAAGTGAGATTGCACTACAAAAAACCTATGCTGCAGTGCTATTCTGTAAGAACAAATTCACTTTTCACGGCGGGGTCCGCGGCGCCGTTGTGATTTAAAATTAATTTGAAATTCGTGTCCTAATTTTAAATTAAACCATGGATTCCGTCCGGGGAGAAAAGTGAATTTATTGTTACAGAATAGCACTGCTATATCTTTATGGGTATAAAGGGAATTTTTATAACAATTCAATAAGATTAGGTTCGTGCTTCATGTTCCTATATTATAAAAATTAGCGCCTAGGTTATATAAAGTCAATTCAGAAGACTTTTATTTCCACTTTGTATTTGAAAATTCAACTATAGTTGTGCCAATTAATAGCCACAATAAAATATAGCGGGTGGCCGCGAATAGGTGCGTACTTTGTGGCAGGGCTGAAAAGTTAAGATAACAGATATAGGGTTTTGTCCAATATATATTTTAAAAAAGCAAACGTGAGTATCGTGGAACACTCGGTTCCATTCCAATCGAGTTAAAAATAAGTATAATATAAGTACACAACTACACACAGTACGCTATGAAACAGCTGACGGTAGTGAGAGAAAATAGTGACTAAAAAATCTTACACTCGTTTTCGCCTAGCCCCCTTCCGCCAAGAGCGATAAGGAACTTTGTTCCAAAAAAAAATTGTTTATTTCTCTGAGAATGTAGAAATTACAATTGCTTTTAATTCAATTAAATTCTAAATTCAACGTTTGGTACTTGGACGACGGAACCCTAGGAGGTGATGTGGATACTGTGTTTTCGGACCTTTTTTTAATCAAAAACAAATTTGAAGCCATCGGTGTGGAGCTTAATTTTAGCAAATGCGAACTTTTTAAATAACTGTGACTTAAATTTAAATGACGTTAAACAAAAATTTAATATTTTGGCTCCAAATATTAAAATAGTTAACAGTAATTCCCTTTTCCTTTTAGGTTCTCCAATTTTTGATGAATCTATTTCTGAATATTTTAATAATTCAATTAATAAATTCCAAAATTCCGTTGACCGTCTCCTTGAAATGAGTCCACATTATGCACTTTGCATCTTAAAATTCTGTCTTTTTGTCCCAAAATTAACGTATGTCCTCCGTTGCTGCTCCTTTTGGAATCATCCAGATCTTTTGGCACAAGTAGACGGCTTAATCAAAAATAACTTAGAATCAATTCTTAATATGCAGCTTAACGAGCAATCTTGGACCCAAGCATCCCTACCCATCCGTTATGGTGGTTTAGGGATTCGCAAAATTTCCAGTGTCGCTTTACCAGCCTTCCTATCTTCTGTCCATAGTTCAGCAAATCTCATAAGTAAAATTTTAAGGGCATCCCCTTCAAACTTTGAGATTGCTGGCTTGGAAGAAGCTAGAAGCGCTTTCTTAATTGCATGCCCAGGTCAAAATTTTCCAGTTTCTCCAAATTCACAGAGGAGCTGGGATGACATAAACTGTAAATTGACATATGATAACCTTTTGAGCTGTAGTACAGGTTCGGCGCGTGCTAGGCTTTTGGCCGTGGGTGCGCACGAGGCCGGCTACTGGCTTCACGCGTACCCCTCGTCAAATACAGGAACATTTCTTGAGCCTGACACGCTCCGAATCGCAACCTGTCTACGGCTTGGGGTCCCGGTCTGCGCTCCTCATAAATGTCCCTGTGGCAGTGATGTCGACAAGCTAGGACATCACGGACTGTCATGCCAAAAAAGTGCAGGTCGCTTCTCGAGACATGCCGCACTTAATGATATCATACGCCGGTCCCTTGGCACTGTCAACATGCCAAGTCTACTTGAGCCGTCTGGTATTGCAAGAGACGATGGCAAGAGACCAGACGGTATGAGTTTGATTCCATGGAAGATGGGTCGGGTGCTGGTATGGGATGTAACCTGTTCAGACACGCTGGCCCCTTCCCATCTACATGGAACCAACAACAGAGTTGGTGCGGCTTGTGAAGCGGCTGAAAAATCAAAAGCAAGCAAATACAGGGGTCTAGGCTCCGAATATGATTTTGTCCCATTCGGTGTCGAGACCCTTGGTCCGTGGGGTCCTAGCGCTTTAAGGCTATTTAAGGAAATAGCAAAAAGGTTAGTCGACGTCACTGGAGACCGAAGAGCTGGCAGCTACCTCGGACAAAGAATTAGTCTAGCCATTCAAAGAGGTAACGCTGCCAGTATCTTCGGTTCCTTGCCTAAAGGGACTCCTTTTAATAATATATTTTAGTTATTAATTTTATGTTTTAAGGTTTTTAGTTTTAGTTTTATTGTTCTAGTATTTATATTTTACTTATATATAGTAATTATGTAATTAGATAGAGACTTATTTGTTTATAGTTAGTGTATTTTATAGTTTTATGATGTGAAATTGTTAATGTTACTATTTAATAAATATGTTTATTGCTTTTTATAAGCATTTTTGCAGATAAATAATACCTGATAAATAGAACGAAGAAGAAGAGAAGAGAGATAATAATAACACCTGCAGTAGAGAGCCCCGCACTTTCTAAGGAAATATGAGCTCGTCAACATTATTGTATAGTACGAATTAAAAGTTTAATGTAGCTTACTTACTTTCGCAAAGATTTTTCCAAAGATTTATCTATGTTATGCAGTGACACGAATACAGAAGACAGTGCAGTTAGTTCGGCGGGTTTGGAGATGCTTCGCAAACTATTCCCCGGGAAGAAGCGATCAGTGCTGGAGCTGGTCTTGCGACGATGTAACCATGATCTGCTCCGAGCAGTTGAACATTTTAACGCTACACATGTTTGTATATTGTCTGAGATATTACCTATTTTATAATTAAGAAACCTTACCAGTATTACCACTGAAGAAATACATGCCTATACTACTAATATTGTACTATAAATGTTAAAGTTTTTATTACGCAAAAACTACTGAACGAATTCGGATGAAATTTGGCACGCATATCGTATGACTTAGATTGAGACATAAGATACTTTTTATCCTGGGAAATTTTTGGGTTCCTGTGAGATTCTCAAAAACTAAACTTAACGCGGACGCCCCGTCGCGGGCGGCCTTTAGATTAGTGTAATTGCAATTTCTTCTGACGATTTTTAAACAAATTTAATGTATCAGACTAAACCGATCAAGTACGACTTCGACTCGCGCTATATGACTACCCTGCCGGTAAACGGCCTGGCCAAAGGCCACCATAGAGTACAAACGCTAGCGATTCCAAAAACATCACTCACTCCGTTGCCTACCCTGACCCGTTCCTCTACGCCAGCTATACTCTAAGTGTGTTCCGCGGAACCCTAGGGTTCCGTGATACCTCTGTCGGGGTTCCGCAAGAATTTAGAAATAAAAAAATCAAAACACCTCTCTCTGGTCGCTCCGCGGCTGTGCGGACTCCGCGGCCGCGCGGAGACAAAACGCTATGAATGTTATTTATTTATTTATTTGTATTTGTATAAGCTTGTGTTACATTAGCTGGTACAATATCTCATAAGTTTGGTCTCAACAATTTTATACTTGTACAACGCGTTCGCTCTAAGTTTGCCGGTCTGTGGAATGCGCGTACCCTCCCCCACGTGACAACAAAACTTATAATGTGTCATAGTTTTACCCAAATATCTAACGTACACAATTTTTATTGTTACAATTAAATAAAAAATTTCGAACGTCATACACTCATACCTATCGCCAGCGGCAAACTTAAAACGAGCGGGTAGTATACTTGTAAGCGCTCAGTCTCTTTGATAAAAGCCGCCTCTGAATTAGACGCTATAGTTGTCAACTAGCGACTTTCGTCTCTAACTTCAAAGGATAAAGTCGATATTGTTTACAACGCTATTTTTAAATTTCTGTTTTTATTTTTGCTTTTTGTTTATCAAAGGTGCCGACTCGAGTATTTTCGAGAATATTTGAGATCGAGTCTAGGACTAAGTATAAAAGCGGCGATCGCGCGTTGGCGTCGTCAGTTGATGATTAGCGTTCGGAGCGATAAGTTACTACCTACTTACAAGCTCGCTAGCGAGAAACTGGTGTTCATTGTTTTACTGCCTGCTGTATTCTGTTGTCTCAGTTTTATACATTTCTTCCCTGTAGGTTCTAAATTTAGTCTCTTATACGCAGTAACGATTGTGCATTATTTAAACCCCACTATCCTGACTTGTAACATTATAAATAAAGAAGAATGGAACGTTGGCTTAAAGGTGTTAAACGTGTTCCAACAACATCTTCTAATGACGCTGAATGTTCAAAAGCAATGCGCGCGGAGAATTTAGCAATCACCGATCCAGAAGATGATGCCACGAGTGCCACGACGTCAAGCTCGACGGTTTCAAAGACGAAAAAAAGGAAGTATGATGAATCTTATATCAGTTTCGGATTTGTTGATTCCAACGGCTCACCTCTCTGCATGCTCTGTAGTAAACTGCTTCCTAATAGTTCCATGGCACCTGCCAAATTGCGTCGACATTTAGAAACCGTACACCCCGAGACTAAAGACAAGAATAAAGAATTTTTTGTTCGCAAAAAAGATCAGTTATTAGAAAGTCAAAAAAATATGATGCATGTAACACAAACTACCAACGAAAAGGCCACGGAGGCATCATACTTAGTTAGCTATCGCATTGCACAAGCAGGTGAAGCGCACACTATCGCTGAGAAATTAATAAAACCATGTGTATTAGACATAACAAAATGTATGCTTGATGAAAAATCTGCAAAGCATCTTTCTACTGTTCCGCTATCAAACGATACTGTTTCACGACGAATCCATGATCTGGCAAGCTACGTCAAACAAGAACTAGTTACACGTCTACAAAATACACGATTCGCTTTGCAAATGGACGAGTCGACTGATGTCGCTGGTTTGGCTATCCTGCTGGTTATTGTGAGATATCCATATAAAAGTTCTTTTGAAGAAGACATGCTTATGTGTTCATCGCTGCTTACAAACACTACCGGGGAAGAAATTTTTAATAAAATAAATATATTTTTTGAAGAACATAATCTCAGTTGGAACAATTGCATTGACATTTGTACAGATGGGGCCAAGGCGATGACAGGTAAAACAGCAGGAGCAGTGTCACGAATGAAAAATAAAGCGCCTAATTGTAGTTCCAGTCATTGTATTCTGCATAGACAAGCACTTGCGATGAAGCAAATGCCGTCTAATCTAAAATTAGTTATGGATGAAGCGGTAAAAATAATTAATTTTATCAAATCACGACCACTACAATCCCGATTGTTCTCATTATTGTGTGAAGATTATGGCAGCAAACATAAAACACTGCTGCTCCATACAGAAGTGCGATGGCTGTCTCGGGGAAAAACTTTAACAAGGCTATTTGAACTTAGAGCCGAGTTACAAATGTTTCTTTCAGCAGATACTTCTTTTAATTTGAAGGACCGTTTGTATGATAAAACTTGGTTGTTCCGATTGTCTTTTATGGCGGATATCTTTCAAAAACTTAACGAATTAAATTTATCATTGCAAGGTAAACAGACAACAGTGTTTCAGGCCTATAATAAAATAACTACTTTTAAAAGAAAATTAGATTTTTGGATCATTTGCATTGGTAAGAAAGAAATAGAAAGTTTTACGTTACTCACTGAGTTTGTTAGCGAAAACGACTCAGAAATGTTTGAAGATAATGTGTTTGAAGAATTGGTCCAATATCTCAGTTCGATGCGCGCATCTTTTGAAAAGTATTTTCCCGAAGAACACAATACAAAAATTAAAGTGAACTCCTGGATTCATAATCCTTTTTTACCCAACTTGGAAAAGCCTGAAAACATGTCAAATGAGATATATGAATCTCTTTTAGAAATGTCATCAGACACAAGTATGGAGTCATTGTTCAAAACGACGCCTCTTAATGATTTTTGGTGCAGAATCCAAGATGAATATGCAATGCTTGGCCAAATGGCTCTGGATATTCTTCTCCCGTTCCCAACTACATATTTGTGCGAAACAGGATTCTCTACCTACGCAGCCACGAAAACAAAATATCGCAATAGACTGGACGCCGAAGCTGATATGAGACTCCAACTTTCTTCCATCAAACCTGATATCAAGCAATTGATGAAAAATAAAAAACAGTTTCATACCTCCCACTAGTTAGATTTTTTCTTTTTTAATGTTTTCTATTATTGTCCTTACCAAGTGGTGAAGTAAAAAATAATTAGTAACGGATACATTGTACTTTTATTATGCTGATTAATATAGAATACACTTATAAAAATAATTGTTTTATTGTAGGGTTCCATCAAGTATTTTGCTTCCCAAAAGGGTTCCGTCATTTAAAAAGTTTGAGAACCACTGCTCTACGCCATGGAGTGTTCCAAGGGGTTGCAGGCCCAAGCACTTGGTATTAATTTAAACTCCATATTTCCACTCTAACCCGAGAAAAAGGATTTTGAAAGACGAACAACAAAGTGGTGGTGGTAGGGATTGAATTTTTTTTTGAAGGACGTAACCTCAAAATGGGAACTTGTTATTTTATACTTATTTTATTTTTTTCTATTTTTTATCTATACCTCGATATATAAACCAGAACGTCAATTCTGCTTAGCTAACGTAACGCTTTTTGACACAGTTCCTGTTAGTAAAACATAAAATAACAAAACCATATATATACATTAGAATAACAAATAAGTAAGCTAATATATTTGTAATTTAGTAACAAGGGGCCGTTCAAGTATTACGTAAGCAGATTTATTACAATTAATTTAATTTTAAAAATTTAATTTAATACAATAATAAAGGGGGTCCTCCTCCCCCACGTCAGCAAAAGTAAGCAAAGCTCTTACCCCTCCCCCCCATCCTTACGTAAACATTCAAAATTCAAAAAATTCAAAATTCAATATCATTTATTCAGTCTAGGCTGTTACAAGCACTTGTGAATGTCGAAAAGCTACGCCATCGGTTCGCAAATCTACGGCGGGAGACCTTGTACTGAGAAGAACCGGCAAGAAACTCAGCAAGGGCTGTTTTTTTCTCCCTGTATTATATACAGAGTCGTCAATTTGAAAAATGAGTTCAATATGAGATAACCCATGAAGTCACTTTCCATTACAAATGTAAATGATAAAACAATTATGACTATAAAATAAAAAATATAAAAAACAGATTTAAAAATGAAAAAAAGTTTAGGAATGCCGTGTCCCACTGTTTAGGCATAAAAACAAATGTACCATTAAAGTTAAATACAACGATTAATAGTACCCAATGTAGCAAGAGCAGACTCATCTCCGCTGGCAGCACCCGTTCACGAGCATGACGCATGAACCAGCCATCGCTTCGCTCAACCATTTTTTAGGGAACGTAACGACCCGCCTCACACGACACCGCCGAAGAGATTTTTAAGAGAGTATGTCTACCCATAACCACATATGGATACTAGATAGCAAAATAGGGAAAAAAAAAAAATTAAGTACCAGTGTACATTACTATAAAAAACTATAAACACAACTGTAGGACACATGCATGTGGTTACCTAAACACTAGTGTCGACTCTGCCACTACCCTCCAAACCCAAAACCAAACCCAACATCAGTGCCCCCCCTTCACTGTGTATAGAGAATGACAAGGATACACCGCTGCAAAACCAAAGTTCAGGTCTAGAGAACCATGCCAGAATCCACACCACCATTAAATCTTTATCTCAGAAATAATAAATGTTCACCTAATTTTTTTGTTTCTGATTGCTGTGCCACACAGTATAAATACAATTACAAATAAAATTTAACTTAAATAATTAATTATCATTATAATAATAATAAAGTAGTATAGA